TTGTGCATCATTTCATTTCATTTATTTATTTTGCTTCACACATGGTACAGCAGTAATTCATTTCCCATACACAACCTTCCTTTCAATTAAAGTAACACTTTCCATGCATGAAAAGGAGCAGTAAGAAGAATAAATTCTTATTGACACCTGCCCCTTATCTGTGACAATACAAGTAGGCAACCAAAATTACACTCTGAGAATATTCTGCACATAACAAAACAAAACCAACAGAACAATATACTCAACAACGAGCAATACCACTAAATATCAAACTAAAAGGATCATTTTTTCTACAATTAAATTCTATTATTTTCAACTTCTTCATACTGGTTTATCATTTTATTCTTATAGCAGATTTTAAATTGAGAAACATTTGTACAACACTTAAGATGATCATTGAGAGAATTCCAGTTTCTTATGCCTATGACTGTTGGACACATTTGCCTTTGTGTGGTTTGAGCAAACCGATGCTTAAAATAAAACTTCCTTCTGACGTCCCCATTTTCTGAACACAATACAAATAAACTTTGTAACTTAAGAGGTAGTGTTTTATTTTTTGCCCTAAACATAATAATTAATGTCTGTAATTTCACTATATCTTCTAGTTTTAATAATTTCGATTTTATAAACAAACTATTAGTGTGTTCTCTATATTTAACATTATGCATAATTTGAAGCGCTCTCTTCTGTAATAAATATAATAGTTTCATATTAGTCACGTATGTATTCCCCCATACTTCAACACAATAACTCAGATAGGGTAGAAACAATGAAAAATATATTATTCTCATTGTCTTGTAATCTAATATATATCTTACATTACCCAGGATATAAATACTTTTAGCAAAATTTTTTTTTATGTTCAATATGAGGTTTCCATGTTAACTTGTCATCCACTATTACACCCAGAAAACAGAATTCTGTCACTCTTTCAATTAATACTTTTCCTCCTTTACACAGTTTCCGAATATCATAAACTTTCAGCGATAACTTATTTACATCAAACCATTTTTTTTATTTTTTTCATTTCAGTAACCATAATTTTAACCAATTCTTTCAAGTTTTCTCCGGAACAATAAAAATTTGTATCGTCTGCAAACAAAACAAAATGTAACATTTTTGACACATCACAAATGTCGTTTATATATAAATTAAAAAGTTTTGGTCCTAAAACAGAACCTTGAGGGACCCCACATTCTGTTTTCATTCTATCAGATGAATTGCCTAAACACTGCACATACTGAAACCTATTATCTAAATAACTGCTTAACCAGTTCAATACTATTCCTCTCACACCATAAGTACTTAACTTAGAAATCAACATGGAGTGTTGCAGAGTGTCAAAAGCTTTTTTTCAATCAATGAATACCCCTATAGAATATTTATTAGTATGTGCTGCTGATGAAATGTCTTCAATAGTATTCACTAATCCTATTGCTGTTGATCTGTTCCGTCGAAATCCGTACTGACTTTCGCTTAACAGTTGATGTTTTTCAATGAAACTATCAAATCTTTGTGCAAAGAGTTTTTCAAGCACTTTAGAAAACTGTGATAGCAATGATACTGGTCTATAATTATTAAAACTATGACTGTCTCCTGATTTATAAAGGGGAGTAACTTTTGCCACTTTCAGTCGGTCAGGAAATACACCCGTATAAAATGAGAGATTAAAAATATAACAGAGAGGTTTGATTATACAATCCAAAGTCTTTTTTCCGATGACCATATCTAACCCATCACAGTCTCTTGATGTCTTGTTTTTAGATTTTGCTACAATAGCTATGATTTCTTTTTCAGTGATTTCCCCTAAAAACATAGACTGTACCACTCTGCTATCTCCTTTCCATTCGTCACTCCATTCTGAATCATCCTGTTTTCTAATTACGTTTGCCAGGTTAGGCCAAATATTTACAAAAAATAATTAAATTAATTTACCACTTAATTCATATCACTTATGACCTTATTTTTCTTATTAAAGGTCAATTTAAAGATGTATATTTATTACCCAATACGTTTTTAAGATATTTCACGTACCCTTAACATTATTTTTGTTTTTGTAAAATAATTTATTATAATACTCTTTCTTAGCCTTTCTGATCATTAATACTAACTTATTTTTTATAAACTTTATATTTCATTTCAGCAGGCTTTGTTCTAAGTTTTATATAATCTCTATACAGTTTCTTTTTCTTTTTACATGCATTTTCTAATCCTTTTGTTATCCATGGTTTACCAGTAGTTTTCTTTTTCTTTTGCTTATATATAATACCAGTGGACAGTGATTTTCATACAAAACCAGATAAGTATTTAAGAATGTCTCGTATGCAGCATTGACGTCATTTACATAAACCTCATTCCAATCTTCTTTCATAAGATCTTGCCTGAACTCATTTATTGCATCATCATTTCTAATTCTTATATATCTGTCCGCACACACTTCCTCCTTTCGTGTCATTTTATAATCTAAAGTAACAAAAATAGGTAAATGATCACTTATGTCATTTATGACAAGACCACTTATAATGTTGCTTTCCAAGCAATTAATGAAAATGTGATCAATTGAAGTATCTGACTCTTCAGTTATTCTACTAGGTTTAGTAATCAGAGGGTAGAACCCTCTTCCAAATAATAAGTCAATCTGATGATGTCTTATGATTGGACATTAAAAAAAACCCCAATATTATAATCCCTGCAAATACAGAATGTCTTATTTCCCTTTACCTTGCTCAATAAATCTTCTACTACATCTGTGAATGTTTCTATCAGTGTCCCAGGCCTCCTATACATACAAGTAACAATTATATTACTCTTTCTTTCCATTTCTATTTCTACTGTCACACACTCCACAGACATATATTCAACATGTTTACATTTCAAATCACTATCAACAAAAAGTGCCAAACCTCCTGCCTTCTTATTAGATCTATTTATATGATATAATGCATACCCATCAATGTGAAAGTCCCAACCCCGTTCCTCATCTACCCATGTTTCTGATAGTGCTATCACTTTAAACTTGCCTTTCAGATTATTCAAAAAATCATTGATCAGAACAAAACTTTTATAGAGGCTTCTACAGTTGAAATGAATTAATGAAAATGTATTACCCAAGTCAACATTATCCCTAAATCGATTCTCATAATACTTGCATGTAACATTAATTGCATTAAGCACATTCCTTTCTGGATCTATATTATTTTCAAAATCATGTAATTTGTAATCCGAATCTTCAGTCATTGTGATTGGGTATTCTTTAAATGTCTGTAATCCTTATGACATAACATTCGTACAAGTATTTCACAACGCATAATGGTACCGTCGATCCCAGTTCCATATCCACCTGCAGCTTCACACTAATACTCTTCCAGTCTACTGTCTCATACCTTGCCATTTTCCCCCTCTGACAGTCGGAAATAGTGTCTTTTATTGAATACGTTCGGCTAGTTGTTAGCAAACACATCATAACAGACCTTCTGCCGTCCGACTGCAACAGTGTAATCATCCCCCGTAGTTGTCCAAATCATGAAGATCCCTGATCATTACAATCTTGGCTTCTTCTGGTGTTCCGTTGAGCTTTATCATCACTTTGCAATGTCTTGTTCATGTTGCTTGGATTTTTTTTTCTTTACGCATGATATGGGCTTGTCTGGCAATATCGGCGTTCTTTTTTGTGAGATGTTCGTTCACATATACTCCACTCCCTTTCAGTTGTCTGGACTGCCTCAGTAGCTCAATTTTGTGTTTTCGATTCACAAATTTTACTACTATTGCTGGAGGTGCGCTGGCATTCTTTCTGGGGAGGGTATAACACGCCGCGATGTTGTTGCTATGCAGGGGAAGTTTTTTACTCGCAAAAAACTCCACTACCTGACGCTCTAATGTTTGTTGCTCCTCCACCGGGGGCTCATCTCCGCCAGACCTCCTCCTCCTTCATCTCCTCCAAATCTTCTTCAATTTTTCTCATCGTTGCCATTTTCTCCTTTTTGTTTGTTTATGTTTTGTTTCAAGCAAACGATATTTGACTTAGAATTAATCACACAACCTATTCTGAGATGCCAATCTGGCTGTAGCTATATCATTGAGATATAGCGGCCGTACCATTCTTTGAATTGGGCAGGGGACTAGCCAGAAAAAAGCCAAAAAAAAGACTTGGATGCCCCAAGAGCTGTGTCCACACTCCTGCCCTTCTACTCTGTCAAAACAGTGACTCTGCCATTTGTGATAAAACTTTGTCTGGGATGAGGCAATCAGCTGTGGGCAGAGGGTAGAAACCGTTTGTAATCTCTGTCTTCACAGCCAACAAGCACACCATGCTGGACCTGCTGAGATAGGGTCCTAGTTCACTGAAAAGTGCATCCCATGTAGTAGTCAGTAAATGGTCAAGGTGGACAATGTTCAGTGCAAGCCAAAACTCCATTATTAAAATAGCTTCAACAAGGGTCCTTTTGCATGGTGATCATCCTAAGTGACTAGTGACAACAATGGAAATGAGGATATATATAGTTCTGGTAATGGTTTTATTCCATTTTCTAGATGTGCTGCAGAGTTGTCAGCCCATATGGAAAAGATATATATAAATCTTATAAAGTTTTTATCTGTCTTGTATGAAACTTGTATGAAAAGCATACAAGAGTGAAAACACATATAAGATCCCTTGAAAAATTATATAATGAAGCTTGTATGTTTTGTATAATTACTAAAAAAATATATGAAAGTAATGAGAAAGTGGCCACTTTCATGAGTAAATCATATATGTTTTTACTATTTCTTTTCCATATGGGAGTACAGTGACTGACACTAAAGACTGAGCATTTGCAGGCAAACGTTTAGAAAGAGAAGATGACAGCTGAATTCATCATGCTCACATTTGAGGGTCAGGCTAGTGCTAAGAGAGCAGCAGTTATGGTGTTTGTGATGCGAGTCAACACATGATCGGAGAGCACATTTCTGCAAATGTATATCATAGAAATGACAGCGTCTCCTTATATATTCCTCTACAGGTAATGTGTTTGTGGTGAGTCTGGCATTTGCTGACCTTGTGGTAGCCTTCTACCCCTACCCTCTGGTTCTCTACGCTCTTTTCCATGATGGATGGGCTCTGGGAAACACACAATGCATGGTAAGAACACAGAGCTTTCAGCTTGTTTCAGTTTACCACCACTACAGCAGCAATAAACATACTCCCAGCACAGTCTGACAAAAACACTTCACTCTCTTTCTTTCTGTTCAGGTCAGTGGTTTCCTTATGGGGCTCAGTGTCATCGGTTCCATTTTCAACATCACTGGAATTGCGGTGAACAGATACTGCTATATCTGCCACTCATTCGCATACAGTCGGCTATACAGCTATCGCAACACTTTGATGTTTGTTGCCTTAATTTGGCTGCTCACCGTAGTGGCCATTGTCCCGAATTTCTTCGTTGGTTCCCTGCGTTATGACCCGCGAGTTTACTCCTGCACCTTCGCCCAGAATGTCAGCAGTTCCTACACAGTGGCAGTAGTGGTGGTTCACTTTCTGGTTCCCATTGCTGTGGTTACCTTTTGTTATTTACGCATTTGGGTACTTGTTATTCAGGTGAGTTTCCAGACTCTCTACATTAATATTTACAGTCTCAAAAATTATATTAAAGCTTTTAGAACAAAGCAATACCACCAACAAAACCAGTAAATACAATACCAGCTGTAAATAATACAGAAACACCAAGAGTAGAAAAATGTGATGATTTTATGTTTAAACCCTGAATAATTGACCCATTACTTGCTGAGTGTACATTATAAATAGTTTCATGTACTGAAAAACTCATCAGAGTCCATAAAATCCTTGGTTGACATTTAAATTTCAATTAATGATTAGCGCAATTTTTTATTTTTATTTTTTTTAATTAAAGCTACAAAAAACAAGGTTAGTGCGTATTTGTGTTTCTGTGTGGGTTAGTGAATGTACAGTCAACAAAAATACTGCGCCGAAATTTTTGTCATTTTGTCGCTGTAAACCACTGCATTAGACTTTAAATCAAACAGTCAAAATATGATTGAAATGTGACCTTCAGCTAAAATTCAAAATAGTTTAACAAAAGGACTGCATCAACTATTTATGAATCATAGCCATTTTTGTAGTCCCCCCCCCAAAAATAAATAAATAGAGGAAGAACATTATA